GGGTGTAGTGCTGTGGCTCCAGGAGGGGGAGGGGGGAGACACGGACAGCGGTAAGGGGGCTGAGGCTGGGGATGGATCTGGGGTCAGGAGCAGGGCCGCAGCCAGGGGCAGAGGGGGAGAGCAGAGCCGCAGTCGGGGTGCGGTGGGGGCTGATAGCCGGGCCCATGGTCAGATGCTGCTCCACTCGCGGCCGTGCCCCAGGCCGGCAACAGAGCTGCTGCTAGCAGCCGAGGTTGGGGGCTGACACAGGGCCGGGAATGGAGCTACGCTGAGGCTGGGGATGTGGCTGATGGCGGGGCTGGGGAAGAGCTGAGGGCGAGGAAGGGCTGGGTGGCACTCCTTCCCCACTCCCGTGGGGGCTGGCCCCAGGCTCTGCCGTGACCCCCCCGAATGTTGCTCCGTGTCCCTCTAAGGGGCGTGCCCCACACTTTGGGTACCTCCGCCATACAAAGTGGAACAGCTTCCTCCCATGAAATGTTCAGGTTTAGTTACTAGAAGTACTTTTAAAGTTGTAAGAATTTTGAATGTTTGCCTAAACCATTTAATATAACCTTCTAACAAAAGCTCTTAAAAACGAAAATTGACCTTTCCCTGAGCATCTGATTTTTGCTTCTAATATCAGGAGTGAAATCCTGACTCCATTGAATTCAGTGGGAGCTTTGTTATTGACTCACCTCACATATTTGCAGCCAATGACTTCCTCATTTTTACTGGTTGGTTCTTTCTCCATTAACTTTAGGTAACCATGTTGTGGAGATGGCCTGAAGACCTGGAGAGTAGAAACTGCATCCTACAGGCACTGTCTGTGCCAGGACATGGGAAGAACAGGTCTAATTTTGACTATGGTTATGGGATTGTGAGTCTCTCTCTGACAGCTGTGATGACTCAGTAAGTTAACCAGATCTGTTTCAAATGTCCCCTTAGCTAAACAGCTGCAAAACCAGTCTACTTTTCAGTTGTTAAAATCCATTTTTTCTCATCTTTCCTCTGCTTCTCCACCAAATTAAAAAGCTCCCAAAACCCAAAATCATACTAAACTGAGCTGCAATAAATCAGATGTTTATGCTTTTTAAAAAATAAGTTATCCTTTACAACAACAATTGTTTGAGGGAAGTTGAGAAACTGCACTTTTGAAGCTGCTACCTTTTCCTTTTGGATGGCTACATCAAATCTCACTTATTTTTTTGTAGAGTGAAGAAAGTTACAGTATTATTTTAGCTCTCTTCATATAACAGTCTAGAATTAGAAATATCTACTCTTTTTAGACTAATTTCTACTGAATTCAAAGTTTGGGCTTTGATCTCAAGAGAAATTACAAGTTAATTATCACGGGGACATCTCAACACATAGATAGGAACTCTTGAGTTGGTGGTGATTCAATAGGTCATGCTCTTCCTCCTGAGCTGGTACTGAACAGTGCGACTAGAGATGTGCGGCCTTTTGTTTTTTTAAATGAGATCTCAAACTGAAGTTCTAAGCATTTGTGATCAGTAAAGAACTTGTGGCATTGTTTTTACAACAAAAGGGATGTTCCTTCCAATATCCAGATGAAATTCCACTTTGAGCAACTACATTCTGCCTACCCAGTTTTACCCATTTGCTCCCTGTCCTTAACTGTTGTGTTGTTATAGCTGTAGACTGTTAAACTGCTGCTGCACCCAACCGTAGTTTGCTGTATTTCAGTGGTGGCTAAAGTGATGCTGCTTATAGCAGTTGTCAATAGTGACTGACTAGGAAGAAGTTTGTTTTGTTCTGCCTCTCATTAAATAGCTGTAAAAATGGGGATAATTATATAGTATACAAATGAAATATGAAGTTATAAGGGATTTAAAATATCCAGATGTGTACGCAGCACATGCAGTTTAGATAGGCGACTATCATTACACCCACTGGAGAGATGGTTAAAATGAGACATGGAGAAATTAAGTAACTTGCCTGGCAAGGCATTGTAGTCTAATCAAATAACTATGTGCCTAGTAACTATGAGCCCAGGTTCCGATCTTGGTTCTCAAGTTGATTTGCTGTGTGACTTTAGGCCCAAATTTTCCAAAATGCCTAATAATTTTAGGTGACTCAGTTGTTGGGTGCTCAACCTCAGTGTGTCAAGTTGGGTGCCCAAAAATGGAAGCACCCAAAATTAGTGGAGACAATTTGTCCCTTAACTTTTCTTAGCTTCTGCTTCCCTACTTGTACAATGCAGGTAATACTAAATGCGTACTTCTTAGTGCTGTTGTGAGGACTTAGTAATGTTTGGAAAGTGGGAGGATTAGGATTGGAATGGAGGACCACCTTGCTTTCCAGTGCTGAGGTTAATCCTCTAGATTACATCCCTTTAATTTTAGGAGTAGGATGTGGGAGGAGGGAATTAGGACAGCCCATGTTGTGCATTAATAACTGGAGATGGAGACCCAAAAGGAGAAGCTCCTGTTGCTAAAGATTTAAGGCATAGCAACCATTTTTCCTGCACTGATTCAACTCACATATTTATGAATTTTGGTTTTAGTAATATTTTTATTTGTATTTGCATGATTTGGTTATCACTGAGATGCCAGTAGCTGAGATAAGTAGACAGTACAGTGTATTACTACAGTACAAGGGATTTATGATAAAAGTTTTTAAACATTGAGATAAACAACATTATTGGTTGCAGCCAGAAACCATGCAAACATGCATAAATGTTATTGGTGATCTTTATACAGCACAATGTAATTTCTCAAAAAGTTTGCAACAAAAAATGGCAAAGCAACAAGAAGGCCTCTTTGAACGATTTAGTTATATCATTTCAGAGAGGGATGGGCCTAGGGAATACTTAACAGTTGCTATCATGGATAAGGCGACATTTTAACAGCTTCAGGTAGTTGTCAATTTTGTGGGAATCCCTACGCAGGCAGTGCAGCAGACTGTAAAAGGCAAAGAGACGGGAGTCCTCATCTGCCATTTGCAGGGATGGGAGACCTGACCACCTGGAGTAGACTTCATTTTCTATTTCACCAGGATGAACCTAATCAAAAGGAAACAAAGTGATAGTATTTCATTGACAGCACTACTAGGCTAAGCTATAGAAGCTAGGGAATCAGACAAGAGAGTTCTAGGTAAAGCACCAAAGAGCCAAGTAATGCTTGCCTTGGGTATGCTGTCTAATTGATTAAAGCTTGTAAAACTCTGGTTTACATTATGGTCCCAAAGATCTTGCGGGCATGACACACCCTAATGTATGGAACATTAAATCTGTACCTCAAAATAA